ACAGGCCAGGCAGCATCACAGGAGCAGGAAAGCTGACGTTTCGGGTCAGGACCCTTCATCAGAAATTTCTGAAGAAGGGTCCCGACCTGAAACGTCAGCTTTCCTGCACCTCTGATGCTGCCTGGCCTGCTGTGTTCCTCCAGCTCCACACTGTGTTATCTCTGACTCCAGCATGGGCAGTTCTTACTATCTCAAGGTAAAATTGGAGCCTGTGGATTTGCCAGGGGGATGTCAGCAATGGAATTCCATGAGTGATCCCATGAGCCTGCGTGTCTTGTTTCTTCCCGCTGGGCACAGTATAGATTGTAACCATGTCCCTGTTTTTCTGGGAGTGTTTCTGTCTATAGAATTGGCATCTCTGTTTGCTGGTCCTGATGCCTTTGTTAGGCCTAGATATTGCAAACAGAAAGCCAGCCAAGGTGAAGTCCTGTTAAAATCAGTTCAGGTAGGATTCTTGGACAATGAAAGCCAGCTTTGGAGTCAATGTCAATTTATAAATGGAGAAGCCAGATTTGTACTTAGCAAAGCAGTTTGTTTGGGAAGTGAATATTGAGGTGATGAGGCAATGAGGGGGTTAGCGCCAGGATGTAATTAGTGGTGTGGATTTATTTTTGAGTGAGCACAGTGCTATGTTAAGTGCTGTACATGATAGTCCAAGGACATAGAGACCTTTCAAATATTGATGTAAAGCACATTTTAATAAATCTTTAGCTTCTATCCTGAGATCAAATGGCTCCTCATGCCCTCAGGCCTATGTTGCAAAACTCTGTCAAATTCTAGCCTCCAGCACATTTTTACCAAACTTTAACCTCCAAGACTGTTTCCAATTCCCTAGTTATAGCAATTCCCTTGGCTGTTTGCCAGTGCATCATGGAGTTGGTCTGTCCCCAGGTTGACTACAATTCTCCCTCACCAATATTAAACCTCATCTAGTGGTTGCTGAGGAAAAGACTAGAAGTCAATTTTGTTTGGCCTCACATGTATACTTTAACTAATGTTTGCTGTATCTTCATGTACATTTACCCTGTGGTGAATGAAAATTGGACCAAGAAGTAGGCCATTCAGCCCTTTGAGCCTGTTCCACCATTCAGTATGACCATGGGTGATCATCCAACTTAGCATGCTCTGGCTTTCTCCCTATACACTTCGATCCCTTGAGCTCTAATTATATAATTATACATTCTCCTTGAAAACATTCAATATTTTGGTCTCAACTGCTTTGTGTGGCAGAGAATTCCACAGGCTCACCACTGTAAACAAATCCTGCTCATCTCAGTCTTATTTAATCAATCTAATTACATCACATATTAGTCTCACTTCTTACTTCAAAGACTTCTCTGAATTTTTTGATCATATTTTCTTGCACCAATCTACAGTTATTTCTTTAAACAGATCAGTTGTTCCTTGGACGGGATAAAGTCTATTTGCATCGGCTGGAAACAGACTCTCATAAGATTTACATAATATTTTCTTGCACCCAATTCAGGTGCCCGTTTGTTAAAAATGCAAAGTGTTTACAAAGGCAAATACTGATAGTGACAAAACTGCTGAGCAGTCTGTCTGTATAACCCTTATGTTTGTAAAAAGAAGTAATAAAATAAACGGAAAAAGTGATGAGATAATGGCCACTCTGTTACTGAAATGCTTGCTTAAGGCAAAGCATCTGCTGAGCCATGAGTTAATTCCCTGTTTTATTTTGCTTAGTTTGCCTAGCGGTAATGACTGGATAGAAAAAGTGTTGCTCACTGCACAGACTTCCTCTGAAGAAATTTCCACTTGTGTGTACTTAGCACTTTTGGAATCCGTATGTTTTCGCCTCTGTGGAGATGATCATCAGTACACCTCCATTTCCTGCTGTCTGAGCAGGTGGCTGAGTATGAGATACAGTCACAAGTCAGTGTTTCACCTAGTCAGCTGGTAGGCCTCAGGCTTTTTGCCAAGTGATTTATGTTCGAATAGTTTGACTCTAGTCTCAAGGAGGAATGCAGTGTTGCTGCAAGGTGGCCTAGCTAAAAACCACTAAATTTCCCAAACCCAGAACAGGGGGAGAATGGGTGTCAGGTTCCTGTGGACTGGAATGCATGGTGTTGGCCATCATTCCAAACCACCATCATGCCACACAGAAACCAAAAGAAGGAGAGGTCTCCAATGCATATTTACAGCTTCCAAAGAAACCAGTGAGAATTTTATTTATTGGCACAATCAAAAAATTATTGTTCAGGAATTACCATCCGTAACTTTGAAATATGTTTGTGTAAAATTTCTTTGCACTTTTAACAGAGGCAGTAACTCAGTTAATGCTTAAAGTAGCAAGGTCATTTCATGCAATTCAATTAACCATTAACTCATTATTAATAACTTTCAGGGCTGAGGTACTAAAAACAGCCGTCGCAATTTCATATATTTGTCATAACAGTGTCTGCACAATTGTGTCTTCATCGGAATAATTTAAAATCCCTATTCATTTGGAATTATTTTATTTTTATATCTTGTAATAAACCCGTTCAGAGATGTTATGGCACATCTCTGGAGCAGATGGGACTTGAGTCCATTTCTCCTGGCTCGGAGGTGTGGACAAGAGCTTTCCTTTGGAATTGTTTGCTAAGCCAAAAATAAGTCACTTATTAAACCATCAAGCAGGACAAGCCATACGTAGAATAATGAGAGCACAGCCTGCAGTATAGAAGTAGGCTGAGTCATGGATATTCAACCTACTCAATATCTGCCAGGTACTTATCTGTGTCAGTTGATGAAATAATTGTGCGGAAGATCATGGATACACTGCTAATGTTGAATGTTTGGAAAAGGAGACAAATTCACTCATAAAATTAAAGGTATAAATGAATGGCTGGCCACTTTGTGCATCAAATCGACAGCACTACCTCTTAGTAAATGATACTTTGTAGCAAGAACTGTCAGAAACATGCAAACTTTGAGAATCTGAGATAAGGTTAGCTAAAATTTACCATCGTGGTCCATTACCAGGTCATTACAAAAAGGAATTAGGAATTACTTACACAGAGGGTTTAGAAGGGTATGTGAGATTGGGGAAGATTTTCTCAATGACTGTTTTCAGTCTGTAAATTGGGTAAATCCTGGTTTATAGAATCTAAGATGGCAAGTGTAATTCACCACTGATTCATGACTCCAGGTTAAGGGGAAGTTACTAGAGACAATACTCATCTTGATTAGATATTTGTCAGTCAGACATGATCTAGGATAGAATTATGTCACAGACCAGTAACTTTAAAAAGTTACATTTATTGAACAAAAATGCACATCAGTTACTATGGAGGAGGATTTTTGTCAACATTGCATTTTAAGAGATTGTGTCCAGAAGGTAGTTAATATTATTTCAAAGGCTTTTGACTTAAGTTCAAAACTCTGGGAATTCGGAGAAACCTTTGGGTATAGATAAAAATATACGACTGTCTGTCATTGGGAAATGGCTAAGAAAGCCAACCTACCATTTCTGCAGGGTCAGAAAGGGGAATTAGTCACGTTTTACACAGGCAGGTTTCACAGACAGTACAATGTTGGATCACTGAGGAAGGCCTTCCAACCACATACTGACCTGGCATTCATTCTGGGAATGAACCCAGGAAATCTATCCACCCATCCCCACCTCCTCCCC